AAACTTTTAGTTTTAACTGTAAGCATACAGTACTGCCCACACAAATGCTAGGTCAATTACTATGATGTGAAGAGTAAGACAAGCCTCCATTTTATCACTTATCTTTACCCTTCCCAATTAATCTTCATGGTGTTTTATACTTCATTGTCACCAGGAAAACTGTGGCTTTGTCCATGTGATTCACGTGAACACCTACATGCTTGACTTGTTTGCCTTTTGTTAGTAGTTTCCACTTTGTGACAACTACTTAATCATTAACCTATTTGCAAAGGTATTTTCAGCAATATGTACTTCAAAGAGTAGAGGAAGATTCCACACAAAGATTTCACATGAAGATTTCAAATACCGTATATTAACTCAAGACGTTTAAAACATTACTGTACAGCAGTAATGAAGTTGGGTGATAAAATCAGTTTTGATTAGAATAGCTAACATTCAGAGGAAACTTTGAAGCTTTTAAATGAGAAATTAAAGATGGTGTTGGAAGGCAATAAGAGCTTGTAAAATGTAAAGCTCTTTGAAGTTATCCTTTCTGTGAAATCTGTTCTCTGCTCACTGCATGAGTTATTCAACAGTATTATGTACTACAGTATAGACACAAAAGAATTTTCTAAACTTTTTGAAAGCTCTCATTCTTTATGCGATCAAAAGTTCCTTTTTAGATTGTTCTTGTCATTTGTTTCAGTTATATTCTATTGGTGATAAATTATTTATAAGTAAAGTCTTTCAAGTCAGGTTTGTAAAAGAGTACATGGGTGTGTCAATGGTGTTCCTTCGATGACAGTGTGAAAGTGCTTTACCACAGCTGCTTGTAGATTGCTTCTTCCCAACTTTCCAGATTATTTCAGTTTTGTGATATGCGAGTCCATTTCGATGCTTCCCTCTGCAAAGCAGTTCAACATTTTTAAGTATATGGAAATATAAGTTTAGTATCAAAAAAGAAATAACTTATGCCAGTTTTTCAGTCAGTAGTGGCCAGAAAATACAATACAGATGCTATAAATAATCCTATGTATATTCTTACCAAATTACTGCTCATAATCTAAATCAGGGTTGTCAAACTGCCGGCCTATGGACCGGTTGCATCATGCGGAGGCCAAGCCCACCCCAGCTCCGACAATGCGAAAAGTCACAATACATCACAACACGTCACGTGATGCAGCGAGTTTGATACCCATGATCTAAATCAACTTAAAATACTTTTAAAAAATCAATTATTTCTACTGTATTGGATAGTGAATTGAGCTATAGCTATGACAAATCTTCACGTCTGACAATAACCATCTTGTTCCTACTGCAGTCAGTACTTTTGAAAGGATACATACCTCCTTTTTTAATCACTTTCAGAAATTGCTTGTTAACCATTTCAGCTATTAAAAACCTTCAAATTAATAAGTTTGAGAGCACTGGGTAAGTTTCCTTCAAACCTCACTGAAAGTTTTTAAGTTTAAAACCTTTAAATAGAAATATATTTTTTGGAATAAACAGCAGAAGGATGATTAAAACTTTGATTTTAAAAGGTTACCAACTGAGTAAAAATCAAGATAAATTTGAAATAAGATTTTGAAATTAGTTATTTAAAAAAATCCTTCCCACGGGAAAATGTTTTTGTTTGAATTTTTTTTTTAAATAAGGTTTTAATAATTTGACACCAGAGGGAGCAAAAGATTTTAAGTAAAGGAGAGGTATAAATAAATTGCTTCATAATTACAGAGCTGGGACTAAAATAACAATGCTTTATAGATGATAGGATTTGGGAAAAAGAGATCATTTATTGTATTTTAAGACCATGTGATAAGTTACTAAGATTATACTTGCGATGAAGGTAGGAAATCACTTTCCTTTCAATAAATTTTATTAGGAATTATTCTAAACAGATAAAAGTAATACAAGAAGCTAATACAAAAATACATTTAAAATATTAGAAAGTGTTAGAAAAAATCTCAAAGAAAAAATAAATAAAAGGGAAATAGTAAACTTCCCCCTTCATTCCCAGCAAGTATATTCAACATTAATGACTTATCTCTGTATCTTAAAATACAACTTAATACATCTTTGTTCCATACCTCATCCCATTTTCTATAAAATCATCTCTAAATCTTCAGATCTCCTTAGTAATCAGCAGAGGTACAGTATCCACTTCATCCCATTCTTTTAATAATCAAAATCTAATCTCAATTAACAATGAAACATTACAAAGTTAAAAGGTATTTTATAAACATTAGCAGAAATACTAACCCCTTATTTACATGACAAAAATAACATAGATATTGCAAACTAACCCATTAGACCCATTTGAATATTTTCCTCAAAAGCACTATCCAGTCAACTATTAGAAGTAACGTTATGTAACAATAACCAAATAAGCCAATTTTATATTTTTTATTGTTGTTCCATAAAGTTCTACTTGCTGTTTTTTATTATATTTTTCTCTTATCTCAAAATTTTTGTCATATTTATCCAAGTCCATTTGTAGTTTCTACGTAGTACCTCCAGGTCTCTTATACTCCAATTTAAAAAGATACAGTAATCCCCATCACTCTTTGTGTTTTTTAAAAATTTTAAATAATCATTTAATTATACTTGTAAATCCATTATTTCCATCTCTTTCTTACAAGTTATGCATTCTAAATCCACCTTAAAGTCTATTTTGATTATCCTTAAAGGGACTTGTTCCTCTTCCATTATGACTTTTGGGTCCAGTACTGTTAAAAGTAGAAGGATCACATGAAGTATTAGTTCTGCTATATACTGCTTTAGTAAGACCCTTGGAATACTGCATGCAGTCGGTCTCTTCAACATCTTCATAAATGATCTAAATGAGACGATAGAAGAGGAGCTCATCAGTTTTGTAGATGACACCAAGCTCAGGAGAATTGCTAAAATTTTGGGAAGATAGACTCAAGATTTAGAAGGATCTTGACAAATGAGTACTATCTAATAAGATGTAATTCTGTAGTGAGAAAAGTGAAGTCCTGTATTTAGGGAAAAAAATCAAATGCACAGGTATAGAATAGACAGTACCTGGCTCACCAACTGTGAGAAAGATCTAGATATCCTAGTCGATCGCCACTTAAGTATGAGCCAACAGTGTACTGCAGCTGCCAAAAAAGCCAATGCAGTTCTAGGTTGCATCAATGGAGGGACAGCATCAAGGTCACAAGAAGTGATAGTATAGTTGTATACTAGTAAGGCTACACTTGAAATACTGTGCCCTGTTCCAGTCACAATACAAAAAAGATGCCGAAGCCTGAAGACTAGACTGTATGATGAACGGTTAAGAGAACTAGGTATGTCTAGCCTAATAAAGAGAAGGAATAAAGGTGACATGATAGCAATTTCCTAGTATTTGAGGGACTGTCAGAGAGATGAGGGGATTGACTTATTTTCTAAAGTATCTGAGGACAGAACAAGAAGAAATCAGTGGAAGCTCATTAAATAGAGATACTATCTGGAATAAGAATTTTCCTGATAGCAAGCAAAACTAACCAATGGAACAGATTGTCTCCTGAAATTGAGGGTCTCCATCACTGGAGATTTTCAAGAAAAGATGGGATAATCATTTGTCTGGGATGGTATAAGGATTCCTATCTTGTGCAGGGGGCTGGATTAGAAGACTGCCAAGGTTCCTTCCAGCCCTATTAATTCTATGGTTTCCTTTTAACTTTTAACAGTTATAATCTGGTACTAATACCACTTGACAAATTCAGTATACAGCCACCATATGGGACTAATTTGAAACGTCTAATTGTAGGACTTTAAAACTATGTTAAACATATTTCCATTTTTATAAGTGAGCCTGATGAGTTCAGGAAAAGACTCAAGGAAAACAGCAATTTTCCTTGTCAAGAAAATACAATTCCACACTACCATGTCACAGAAGCAAACGAATAGATAGAACTGCCTTCAAGTATTTGGTAAGAATTACCATTAAAACCAACTCTGGATTTGTTAACTTCACATCAGGTTGGGGTTCATTGGGGGCCTTTATTGCAAGGCAAGATTTTTAAACCACAGTATTAACTGGTAATTCTATAGAGAATATTGTAAATGACAAAGAATAATTTAAGTGGATCTTTTAATGAGATTATATAATTTTCATAGCACTAGGGCAGGGCTTTTCAACTAGTGGTACGGGTACCACCTGTGGTAAATTGGCACCTGGCAGGTGGTACGCGACCATCCTAGAAAAGTAGCAGGGGAGGGGAATGAGCTGAACTGGTGGCAGCACCGCACAAGTCTGAGCGAGAGATGGCTGGAGCTGCAGGGCTGTCAGGACTCAGCGGAAGCGCCAGGATCAGTGTCGCTTTCCAGCTGTAGCTCGGCGCTGATCCTGGCGCTTCTGCTGAGCCCTGAAGAAGCACCGATCAGCTGGAATGTTGCAGCATCTCCAGGGTCTTGTGATTTACATTCAGATGCTTGGCAACTGATTCATATTTATGATGGTCACAGTGTCTCAGGGTCATGTGAAGTGACCAAAACCTGCTGCAACCACCCAGCAGATGGGAACAAAAACCAAACACCCCCTACCCCACCTTCACTGCCAATCTCCAACAGAAATGTTCACAACAATGAAAACCATGGACAGGAGGAAGAGCGCCACTGGTGTCTTGCTCGGCTGTGGCTTGGGGGGCACTTTTTTCAGTGCCATTGTAACTTCGAACAGTCATTAAGCGAACTGTTGTAAGTCGAGGACTACCTGTACTTTATCACTATATTCTTTTCTTTTCTTTTTTTTTTTTGTCATCAAGTTTTTGACACTTTGCTAGGCGACTGGTGGTACTCGGATATTGCCATATCCTAAAAGTGGTACAATGGGTGAAAAGGTTGAAAAGCCCTGTACTAGGGTTTTCACTGTGGCATTTAGGCGGTCAATGTGCCCAGACATTTCCTGTTGTGTCTGTCAGACTCCTTGTTCAGAGTTCCAAATTTATTCCAATAATGTCTTTTAGCACTGTAAGATTTCTTAGGAAATGAAATCGTAGCTGTCCACAATTAAATGCTATGTTTGCAAATGTGCCCATTTATTCAAAGACAGAAAATTAAACATGTTTAAAAATGGAGCATCATAGAGAAAGCGGGAATGGATCAGCAGTGACTTTGTGAAAATGCCACTCAATGCACTCTCAAAACCTTGAGGACCTCTGATGCTGAGTGTTCAATATACTTAAACCATATAAATACTTTTTCTGATAATCCTGCCAAATCAATATAACCAATACCAAGAAACTGGGGAGAGAAATGTAAAGGAAAGAACTGGTCTAAAATTCAAAGTTGAGATCTGAACATACCAATTTAAAATTGGTTCTTTCAGCTGCCAGTTTATGGTATCTGGTCTATCCATTTTTTCTTTAATAGCATTGTCCTGTTTCTAAAAAAAAGTTTACCTGTGTGTTCTTCTAAAATTAAGGACACACACATTAGGTAACAATACTGTTTTCATATTTTTTATATCTCTGGAAAATAACATAAACCACCTTAAAAATTTCCATCTTACAGTCCAAAATACAAATCTGAAAAATGCTATAAAAGAGAACTTTCAGACTAGTAGGCAACTCCTTACTGCTGCATATTTTAAATCAAGTTCATTCCAAACTTCATATTTTGGTGATGTGGTTTAAATATTCACAAAAGGTGGGAAACTGTCAACAGTGGGTTCAGAATACAGACATGATTATACTATAGTCAACACCCATACTCATCATAGTCTTTTAAACTGAAGTCAATATTAAAACATGTCCCTTGGGAAATAAACACATATATTTTAGTTAGAAGGTATACTAGCAGCATTAAAGTGCTATCACAAAATTCCAAATGACATGCATGAAACAAATATTTTATGTGCAGATAAGGAATGAATCCAGTACTTTCTTATAGCTCATACTGTTGTATATATACAATAGTAAGTTTTTCTCCAAGTACAAAGAAAAAGCTTTCCATTTATTGTTAAAGCAAAACAGAGCTACACCACAGTTTTAAACAATTCAAATAGCAACTCAAGCACCTGAGTAAGTTTTATAAGAAAGTTTTATGAGTATATGCACATTTATACATGAATCTAAACACTTTCTTACAAAATGTTCTACTAGAAATATACCCAGATGGACATAAGTACACAATAGCAAAAGCTTCAAGCTCTACTTAATAAGGTAATTTTTGATTAAAAAATTGAAGGCAAAATGTACCCAAAGTTACATTAGGAAAAGCTTTTACAGTATATTACTAAAGACAGTCACAAAGTTAAGAAAATACTGATATCAAAGGTACAAACAATCACAGTATTAATAGACAAAAATATACAAGGGAATCTTATACATAAATAAAATGCGTTTGCATCTCCATGTGACCCCAATGGTTGCCACAATCATCAACTGGTATTCATTTTACCATCTGTAGGATTCCTTAAGTTGTAAATAATCAGTTTTCTTAACAGTCTGATCTTCACTTCTAACTGGCTTCTTTCTTAGATTCTTCACTGCATAATTTCAAAATAATGCAAGATGGCCATTATATGTTGAGGCATGAAAACATAGCCAGTGTAAAGTGCCATTCCAATAATAGATACCAACATGGAATCTGAATGAGAGTAAAGGAAAGCGTAAAAGACTACAACAATGGTTTACCAAGTGATATGGTAAAAATGTTTAATATGCATTGTTATTCCTATTTATCAAAATCCTATGACATTAAATGGTTTTAGTACAGAAACCATACAACTACCAAAAAAATTCTTTGATTAGTCTGAATCAACAAATAACTGTTCAATTTCTCACTGCAAATCTTCAGACAAGAGCTTTTTCAACTTTGACAGAAAGGAAAAGTGACTAATAATCAGACATTTGTAAGAGAGTAAAAACCAACTCTCAGGGCTTCTGGTTTGCTGCTGTGGCCGCCGCAGACATTGGAAGGCGAGCTCTGTCTTCCACGTCCGATTTTGCACCGCTGTGGGACCCTGGAAAGGGTCAAAAGTCACCCCATAGGGGTGACAAGCAAGGAGGGCAGCCCTCCAAACCGGTGGATGAAAGACTGGCCATAGAAATATGACCTGTCACTAGGCTGCAGACAGCCGAAGTCAAACTTACCACCAGGCACCTATAAAGCAGTGCGGATGAGACTGGGTGAGATCTGAGCCTCTCTTCAATTCTAACTATTTTTTCTACCTGTATGAGCTGTCCAAAGTATTCCCCCCCCTGTGGAGAGAGGGAAGGGAAATTCTATCTCACCCAGTTTAGGAGCCAGGATCTTCCCCCTCTCAGTCCCAAGTCCGAAACCGGATTAACATTGGTATTGGAAGTGAGCTGTGAGGAGATGGTCTGTCTCTCTTCCTCCCCTCCTCTCTTCCGCGCCGGCTACTGAAGCTCCCTGCTGGGCACAGTCGGCCTGAAGTGGAGGAGGGTGAGGGGCCTTTCAAAGCGTGACATTGAAACGGATGGGACAGCCTTTCAGGAGGGTGCGGATGAACTGTAGCTCTCCAGATATTGCTAACATACAGTGGTTTGCCGTCCCTGCAGCAGAATCGATGAGAGATGCTGGCATTTCTCTTTGTCAGAATGTGGTGAATCCACATTGCCCATCTCTAAGGGAGGAAGTTAAACGATTTGGTAGGTGAACTGGTTCTGTTAGTAAAGGGGGGGAAGGTGAAGAGAAAAAGAGAGGGAGAGAGAGAGGAAAGAGAGAAAGAGAAAAGAGAAAGGGAGAGGAAAGAAAAAGAGGGAGGGGGAGAGAGGAAAGAGAAAGGAAAGAAAGAGGAAAGGAAAGAGGGAGAAAGAGGAAAGAGAAAGGAAAGAAAGAGAAAGGGAGATGAAAGGGGCAGGGGGAGGGGGAGAGAGAGGAAAGATATAGAAAGAGGGAGAAAGAGGAAAGAAAGAGAAAGAGGAAAGAGGAAGAAAGAGAAAAGAGAAAGGGAGAGGAGAGGGAGAGAGAGGAAAGAAAGGGAGAAAGGAAAGAAAGGAAAGAGGAAAGAAAGAGAAAGGGAGAAAGAGAAAAGAGAAAGGGAGATTAAAGAAAGAGGGAGGGAGAGGGGGAGAGAGGAAAGAAATGGAAGGAGAAAGGAAAGAAAGGAAGAAAGGAAAGAAAGAGGAAAGAGGAAGAAAGAGAAAAGGGAAAGGAGAGGAAAGAAAGGGGGAGGGAGAGGGGGAGAGAGGAAAGAAATAGAAAGAGGGAGAAAGAGGAAAGAAAGAGAAAGGAAAGAAAGAGGAAAGAGGAAAGAAAGAGAAAGAGGGAGAAAGAGAAAGGGAGGAAAGAGGGAGAGGGGGAGACAGGAAAGAAAGGAAAGAGGAAAGAAAGAAAGGGAGAAAGAGGAAAGGAAAGAGGAGAGAAAGGGAGAAAGGAAAGAAATGGAGAAAGAGAGGAAGGAAAGAGGAAAGAAAGAAAGGAAGAGGAAAGGGGGAGAGAGGAAAGAGAAAGAGGAAAGAGGGAGAAAGAGGAAAGAGAAAGGGAGAAGAAAGGAAAGAGAAAGGGAGGGAGAGGAAAGAAAGAGAGAGAAAAGAGGGAGAGGAGAGAGAAAGAGGGGGAAGCGCAAGTGCCCTCCCCTCTCTCTCTCTCTCACACACACACACACACACACGCATGCGCACACACACACACACAGTGGGGGAAGAAGACTGGCAGACCAAGGGCAAAAGGAGGGGGAGAGGGAGGGAGGGACAGAGAGAGAGAGAGAGACCCTTTGGATATCTAAAATGAAGATAACACTGCAAATATCCTTTTTATATATATATAATAAAGGTAAAAAAGGATATATACAGTGTTATCTTTATTTTAGATATCCAAAGGGTTTTGAGGTTCCCTGTGTTTTGTTTTCGGTGGGAAACGGGTCCAAGTGGCTCTTTGAGTATTTTGGGTTGCCTACCCCTGGCCTAGATATATGAACCCAAACTTTGATTACAACTAAAGAATCAACTACACAGAATATAATAGAAGAAGTGGAACAATCAAGTACTATGATAGAAGATTCAACTGATCAACAAACACAGTTAACGGAAAACCCAGGAAAGGGACTGACAACACTGAAAATGGAAAAGACTTTCTATATAAACCAGAAGAAACCTGAGGATCAAGAAGAACAGACCGAAGGGAAAATAAACATTTCAGGACAACTAAGTCGAGATTGAAAAATAGAGAGACGATTTGTTACCCCTTCCAAAAAAATGGTGACTGGATATATAATAACAGAGGGAGATCTATTTGATGACTTAAAAGCAGAGATATGGAAGGCGAGCTGGCAAAGAAAGCAAGCTAGAATAAGTCTGAAGAAAACTGGGGTTTTGACTTATTAGTGAGGATTAAAATAGAATATACTCAAATAGACAAGATGTGTACTTTGAATACTAGATTTTGTTATGAACTGAGATAAAGAAAACTTTGGTCATTTAAAACTTGGAAGTATAAATATTAAAAGTTAAATCTGAATATTGATTTGTTTATAAAGGTTGAATGTAAAAGTAATTAAGATTTATATAAGCTAAAAATCTATTGATAAATGTAATAACCATGTTTTTACTTAGCTGATATAATAAGAATTGTACTAGCTTAAATACGAGATAGTAGACATTAAGAGAAAAAGAGAGGAAGTATTTGATGTTGAAACAAGAGAAATTTTGGTTATTAAATTTAAGACATTTGGAAATTAATAGAAAATAAGAATGCTATACTGTATTATTAATTAGATGATGTAAGATGGTGAGAAATAGAATATATTCAAATAGATAAGAGGCGTATCCTGAATATTAGACTTTGTGATGAATTGTGATAAAGGGAACTTTGGTTACGTAAAACGTGGAAATTATAAATATTAAATGTTAATTTTAAATATTAATGGGAAACTAAAAACTGGGAAAAACTAATTAGGACATTGATTGTCTATAAAGACTGAATGTTAAAATAACCAGGATATGTATAAGCTAAAAATTATTGATAAATGTAAGAATGTTATTTTTATTTAATTGATATAATAAGAATTGTATTAGTTTAAACATGAGACAATAAATACTAAGGAGAAAAGAGAGGAAATATTTAATGTGGTCGTTTGAGACTGGTACCAAAGATACTTGTATGTCATTGAATTATCGATTAACTCAGCCATCACGTTGCTTTTTAAATACTTAAATGTAAAATTAGAAAATCAATAAAACATTATTTTAAAAAAACAGCTCTCAGAAGCAAACTTAGCACATTTATTTTCTCAGATCATTGCTTAATTCAGGCTCAGCATAATTTCCTCACTAACAGCAATCTAGCAATAAACTGATAAGAATATATGGATGCAGAGACTGCATAAATTGGTGTCGATTATAGAGTGTGTTTAAAATAACAGCAGCAATTAGGATATACTGTATCAAATTTCAGAAGAGAGGCAATTCAACCATTCCTCCTCTTTTTCAGGAAGAAGGGAAGAAAGCAAGAGTCTTTTTTCTTCTATGAAATTTTTGAAATGTTTTGTAAAGAATGGAGAAAGGTTGCATTGCCCTGAGCGTCTGAAGAGGGAGTGGATATTACTTCTCAACTGGACAAATCAAGCTGAATAATTGTCAGTTCTGACCAACAAAGTAATTCCAACCAAAGACTAAGGAGGAGGGATCCAAATTCCAATTTTCTATTGATAGGACAGTTTTCCTTAACATACCTCCTCTCCTTCAAAATCTGTTCTGAAAGCTTAGGGAAGAAATGCTGGAGCTATAAAACATGTTTCTGTTTACGTAATGCTCAGCACTTTTGTAACAAAAGCCACAATGTAAGTGCCACTGTTACAGAACAGTACAAACAATATTCTATGAGAAACTGAGCTAGAAGTATTACATAAAAAGTACAATCAACAAATAGAAGGAGTTACACCACTGTTGCCCCAAGCTATGTATGTCACAAGATACATTTCAAACAAGACTATCTTGCAGTATCAACAGTAACTTAGATGGAAACAAAAGAGCATTGTTGAAGCCCAATCCACTGAACTAAATTTGGATTTAGTTTCTCTGCAAGATTTGCTCACTTTCTCCAAGGTAGATCATAGAAAATAAAAGAAAGGAACATTTGCATGGTCTAAGAATTCTATACAGGGGTCCTGAATGAACAAATTACTTATTTAGAAACAAAGATATTAAATATTAGCAGGTGGCAAGCATCACTTTATTCTTCTGAAAGGAGGTGATTGTTTCTGGATGGAAAGCCAATCAAGTACTATATTCATCCAAGGCTAAAAACAGTAGTACATGGAGATAAAATACAAAACAAAAAAGAATTTATAAAAAAATGATTATACTGGATTGATATAGCACATATAATCACATGTTAATATAAATCATTATTAGCAATACCAATTTAGAAACAAAGATTTGATCTACATTAAAAAACAAAATATGTAAGTTTAGTGTGTAGGGAACAAATAACTTTTATGAATCACGGCTACTGTGATTTTACTAAAAAGCACAATTTATTATTAAATAATCCATCTTTCCTATAGCAGCTGAAAATGGCATATGTAGCACTTTCTCTTACAATGTTTCCCAACACCCCTGAAAAATCCTCTGTGAAGTAGTTCTCAACTTACTACAATTGAGCCCAAAATTTCTGTTCTAAGCGAGAGAGTTAAGTGCCCCATTTTACGACCTTTCTTGCCACAGGTATTAAGTGAATCACTTAACACCTGAACAATTCCAGTTGTTAAGTTTGTGACACCAATGTTAAGTGAATCTGGCTTCCCCATTGACTTTGCTTGTCAAAAGGTTGCAAAAGGTGATTATATAACCCCAGGACACTGCAATGTCATAAATATTAACCAGTTACCAAGCATCCAAATTTTGATTACATGATCATGGGGATGCTGCAGTAGTTATGAGAAAAATAATCATAAGTCACTTTTTCAGTGCCATTGTAACTTCAAATGATCACTAAATGAATGGTTGTAAGTCAAGGACTACCTGTTGGCTGTGTGACTGATAAAAGTCATTAAATAGACAGCTAAAGAACTACATGAATCTTCATTCTCCCCAGTCCTATCCAACCATGAACCACTAGATCAACTGGTTCTTACTGCAGAACTTATAGAAAAGTTTCCATTATCCCATCAATTGCAATTACATTGTCTAACTTTTGCCTTTAAAGTTTTGGTCAAATAATTAAAAATGTTTTTTTAACATTATAATATAACCAATTGTTCTGGAGCATGTGCTAACAATTATGTAGTAAAAGAAAACTAAATTAAGGGATGTTCTGATGGTTGACAAGAAAATCAAGGAATTCTGAAAAATGCAACAGATTTCATATGCTCCTTCATGATAAATGTATTTCTGGTAACAGAAATCTGTAGCATGTTTTTAAGACCCTAAAAAAGCATGATAGGTTAAAATTGCCACAAAAGCATGTAATTAAGACCTAAGTTTGGAATAAGGTTTTTTAAAATTATGACTCCTGATTGAATAACTTTACTGGATATATCTATCTCCACAACAATCCTGTGGTAATATAAACAGAAAGCTATCAGTTTAGTCACCCAGTAGGAATATCTCACTTAACAGAAAATATATATATCCTCAGTAGTTAAGAAAATGGGAAAGAAATATGGCTTCAATTTCCACTTTGTGCCTCTCTTTTAACTGCCAAATGCTAGATTTGCTCTGAGATGCCTAAATTGAGGAAAGTGAACAGTGCAAATCTGGGCACTGTCTTTAGAAGTAAAATACTAGGCACTAACAGCAAATCGCTTTTCAAGATGGGGTAGGAAAATAAAAATGACAGGTTAAAATATATCTGAAAGCACATGAAGCTTAGACACAACCTTGCTTCCTAAGAAGGTATAGGATTAAGATGACAGCCCTGAAATACAATCAGACATTAATTTCCATCTCTGAGCTTTACTCCGCTTACACCAAACCAAAGCACAAACATCGTTATTTCTGTTTTCGCACCCAGCAAGCCATCCTTAGTTGTGTTGCTGTTAAAGTAGTATTTTAACCAAAAGCCTTGATTGGGACATGAGGTTAAACGCAGGTGAGTGAGTAATCAGGTAGCAGCAACGCCTTAGAAACGAGTAAATAGAGGTTGGGAAAAGAGCAGTAAAGGAGACAGTTAATTTACGGGCTGGTGGTTTTCTGCCTTCTATGAAGAGCTTCCACTTAGCAGCGGGCGAAACCTCTCCAAGCTAACGGCGCACATATAATACCCCAGAGCAGCTTTCTTGCTTCAGCCCAGGGTTGCCCAGCTAAAGGAAGCTCCAAGGCCGCCAATTGCCACCCATCCCATCCGCCCGTCCGAGTCCAAACCGGCCACGGTAACCTGTGTTCGGCTTAACCCGAATTTCCCTGACGGAGCCAGGAATCGCTCAGCCTTAGACGAAATAAAAATAGCGCGTAAAGGATACTGAACACCGTCCGCTCCCAGGGCTCCAGCATGTAAAGAGCCGTCACCAGCAGGTACTGGTAATAAAGCCACGACATTCGCTTCCAGGCCGAGCTGAACGCCATTTCCCCGGCAGCGCCTCGGTACGTAAGAGCGCGCCAGCGAAACGCACCGCCGAGCCGAGGACGAGGGAAGGGCGCTTTGACGCCCAGTTCCTTCGCGGATTGGCTGAGCCGCTTCCCGCCGGCCCATTCCTGTTCTTTGAGGCGGGGTCCCTGCGCCAAGTTTCGCAATAGGGGGAAGCGACGCAGTTTCTCAGCCGGACTGGGAAACCTGAGCCTGCTTTCTGTGCTTGAGGAGGCGCCGTGGGTTATCCCGAAGGCCTGCGCCTACCGTGGACTAACGGGAGCGCTAGCTTGAGAGGAGGATAGTCCTGTTGGATGCTTTTACCCTCAAAGAAAAGAAAAAGTTTCGCAGTGTTTCCCTATCATAAGACAGACCGTATTGCGACTCCCATCTTCTGGAGTCCATTTAAGCCAGGGGTGTCAAACTCAGTTTCACTGAGGGCCGCATCAGCATTGTGGTTACCTTGGGGGGGGGCGTGGGGTGTGTGTAGCCAGGGTGGGTGCGGCCTACTGGGTGGGCGTGGATGGAGTGGGTGTGGCCTACTGGGTGGGCATGGCCAGCCTCTACATCAGTGGTTCTCAACCTTTTTAATGCCGAGACCCCAACCGGTCATAAGTCGAGGACTAAACCGGTCGTAAGTCGAGGACTAAACCAGTCATAAGTTGAGGACTTTCCCTGCCCGGGAGCGCCGCGCATGCGTGGTTCCGCCCCCTGCGCCAGCTGAGGCGCAGCTGGCAAGCGGCAGAGACGGAGCAGGCCGACCACCAGCTGGCCCAGCCCAAGGGAGGTAAGGCACCCGTCGGAAAAGGGGAAAAAAATGGTGGACAAAAAAAATGGCGGACAGCCTTGCTTGGCAACCCCCGTGAAATAGTCGATCGACGCCAAATGGGGTCCCGACCCACAGGTTGAGAACCACTGCTCTACATCGTTTGCATCAAGGGTGCCTGTGGGGGCCTGGGCAGGAGTGGGACAGATCTGAGGGTCTCTGGCAGAAGGGGGTGGGACTGGGGCAAGCGCCAAGGCATGGTCTATTTCTTCATTCCTCACAAAGGGTGACACCTCCCCAGCATGCACCCAGGGGGCGGGGCTGACGCAGCAGGGGCTGGTTCCTCACTGTTTCTAGACAGCCTTGAGCTAAGACTGAATGCGTTTCAACATAGATGGTCACCACAAAATTGTACATTGGCTCTCGGTCGGCCTGGGCCAGGGCCAAGGCAGCGGGGGCCGTTCCCTCACTGTTTCCAGGATGGCTTCATGGGCCACATGAAACCACCGCAGGCCGCATCCGGCCCCTGGGCCTTGTGTTTGACATGTCTGATTTAAGATCACACCTACTGCTTCAGTGACTCCATCCAGCCACCTCATTCTCTGTTGTCCCCTTCTTCTATTGCCCTCAATCTTTCCCAGCATTAGGCTCTTTTCCAGTGAGTCCTTCCTTTTCATTAGGTGGCCAAAGTACTTGAGTTTCAACTTCAGGATCTGGTCTTCTAAAGAGCAGTCAGGGTTGATCTCCTCTAGGACTGACCGGTTTGATCGCCTTGCAGTCCAGGTGACTAGCAGGAGTCTTCTCCAGCACCATAGTTCAAAGGCCTCAATTCTTTTGAGCTTAGCCTTTCTTATGGTCCAACTTTCACAGCCATACATTGCAACTGGGAAAACTATGGCCTTGACTATACGTACTTTTGTTGGCAGGGTGATGTCTCTGCTTTTTAGTATGCTGTCTAGATTTGCCATAGCTTTCCTCCCCAAGAGCAAGCGTCTTTTAATTTCTTGGCTGCAGTCTCCATCTGTGGTGATCTTGGAGCCCAGGAAGATAAAATCTGTCACTACCTCCATTTCTTCCCCATCTATTTGCCAGGAATTGAGAGGGCCAGATGCCATGATCTTGGTTTTCTTAATGTTGAGTTTCAAGCCAACCTTCTTCTCCTTCTTCACCTGCATCAAGAGGCTCTTTAGTTCCTCTTCACTTTCTGCCATTAGAGTGGTATCATCTGCATATTTTAGGTTGTTGATATTTCTCCCGGCAATCTTAATTCCAACTTTTGATTCATCTAGCCCTGCCTTTCTCATGATGTGTTCTGCATATAAGTTAAATAGGCAATTAAATTTCCGTCTTTTTCCATTAAACCCAGAAGAAAAGTTTCTTGTTTTATCTTTATATTCACTTTGAGAATCTTTTATATTAAGATGTGAATCCTACTCTATATTTCTTTGCTTTATCACATGTCCACTGTAAGTAATAAAAGATCCCTTCTTTACATTTGCATTTCCAACATTAATTTGAAATACCTTTATTTCAAGAACTAATAATGAGAATGAGGTAAAAAAGAAAAAGGCAGGAAACAAGGAAAGAACAAGCTAAAAGGGCAGAAAAGAAAGAAAAAAAATTATAAAGAAATTACTTCCAATTTTTGTTTATATCAGTTATAGTATAAGTAAAAATGTAAATCAACCTCTTCCTCTATAGTTGCAGTATTGCTTACATTTTTTCTATAATCTATTTTTTCTAATCATCAAAAACATAATTTCATTTTTTTCTGTTTCATGCAAAAAGTCAATAGGTTTCCAATCAACATTAAACTTAGACAATGTCTCATCTCTAATTAAAGCTGTCAATTTGGCCTTCTCAGCATATTCCATTTTTGCCATCCATTCTTAAATTAAACCTGTCCCGGGAGGAATCTGGAGATGAACAAAGTTTATTATTAGCAAACTAAAAAACACAGCCAGAGATGAAGAGCCTAACTAATTAAATGCAGCCCTAGACATATTATAGTATTTAGGGTTTTAGGGAGCATGGGTTATGTGATTTGCTTACGTGCATCCATAAAAATTGCTTTTCTGTATTTCAGGTCTGTATCGAAGTCTATACTAAGCTGTTTTTCAGCACCCTTGATTTGGATTTGGATCTCAAATGCATCCTTTTACTTCTGTGCAGAAATAAACTGAATTCCATTTTTCTCTACTCTGCACAAATTCATCGGCCTATTGCACCACATAACACAAATCCAGTGTTGGACTGGGCCAACCCCTTTCCCCCTTTCTTTCCCTTCTCTTCCCAGCAGGCAGGTTTCTGGCTGCTGCTGAGTTGGGGAGGGATTGCGTGAATAGCCAGGAAGCTTGCAGGAAACATTGAAAATGAGGGTCACATGACTGCAACAATGTAATGGCAGCACTGAAGCAGTCACTCCTTTCCCAAATTTGATTCCCTCAATAGTAATGGGGCTCAGTATTCTGTAAGTTGGTCCACTTGAGGTACCTTGGTTAAAATAATTTTGTACTGTGGTGCACCATTTTGGCCAGTTAAAGGTTAGAATTGAGAAATTTAGTATATAGATTAAAAAAATTATGTAGGTCTATAATTTATTGTTGAAGTCATTTGTGTCTTTTGAAGTCTCAGGCATCTTTCCTCCCTGTAAGATAAAATCCACTGTGTTTTGCAAAAGTTGTAAAAGTTCATCCTCAAAGCAGTTATAATAAGAACCTGATAAGTCATCTGGTCCAGGCAGTTTTCCTAATTTAATCTTTTTTATAACATTGAAAAACCTCTCCTATTGTTATAGCTTCATTCATAATGTCTTTGTTTTTCTGTATTATCAACTTTGACTTTTTTTAAGTATTCATCTGTTTTCTCCAAAGGAATATCATGTCCTTTATATAGATTGGAATAATGCTGATGAAACACTTTTTGTATTGCCATATTATCCTCTTGAAGTTTCAATATCATTCTTTTTTTCTTAATTTATATGCTAACCATTTCTCTGGTGTATTTGCAAAGTCAGAGTTACTCTTTTCTCTTTAAGCCCTTTTAATCCCCAACCAATAAATCATTACACTTTTTTTCTTTGAACAAAAGTACCGTATAACGTTGAAATGTGTTTGAATATTAGTAGTTTGGGTCGGTAGTCAGCTTGTTTGAGCTCTGAGCTTGGCAAATTAGTTGCAAACAGGTTTTGTCACCATTCAAGGAGACGTCATCAGTGCCCTTTGAACTGTGCTCATCTATCAAAACACTGGCCTTTAAATACCTTTTAGGTGATGCAAATTAGTATGAATGTTATTTGTTCAGATATTTCTGAATTACAGTCTGATTTCGGGCTGTTTGATTGGATGGTTGTTGTTGCTGGGGCACAGTCTTTGATGTTAAGTACCACCGGAACAAACAACACGAACACTCATTTGCATTCAATGGGGTGGTCAATAAATTTAATAAAATAAATAAATAATGTCACCAATTGGATTTCATGCCTAAGGTGGCATTAGAACTGTCTCCAGCACTACCACTACAGCAAACTGGCTCTTTGGAAATACTGATCTTTCCAAAGATAGATTGCACAAACATCACCCATTAATTCCTCCCATTTGCATTAGGTTTTGTAAAACAATGGAACAAAATGGCAATTTATGATCCAGCAATTAAAAATAATGGACTTTGGATAAAACTTTATAAATATGATTAAAACAACATATAATAAACAAACAGTGAAAGTGATTGTAAATGGAGACTACACAGAGAACTTTTGAGATAAGAAAAGGTACAAGGCGAGGAGACTTCCGGTGGCAGGCGATTTCGCTGGTCGCAGCTGTTTGCTGCCTCCCGCCTGTTTTGCGTAAAAGCCGGTTTGACAGCCAGCATCAGCTGTCAAACGGCTTGATACCTTTCCCCTGGGCATAAGGGGATAGGTGAGCTGCCCGGGGTAGGAGTTGAGTTCCCGAGTCGTCCTATATGGACGATGTAGGCG